ATGTTGTGTAATTTGTATTGTATTCATGCCTATGGAATATGTGTTTCTGTATTCCTTCTGGGGTTTCTTCTGCTTGATTTCTACTTTTATAACGGGTTCTGGTGTTTTGGATTTAAATGTATTGGGAATGAGAGGAAATTATGGTTTAAGGTTTATTTGAGTGTTGAAGTGAACTCAATTTTTATTATGGGTGATTGCTTTCTTCAGGCTTCTTGCTGAATTCTTATGCTTTATCTGCTTATTTTATTGTTTCCAGTAAACTTGCAAGTGAGAGCATTGTAAAGAGTAGTAGTTCATATGCTTGGCGCTCTTTACCGTGTAATTATCTATTCTTTATCTGAATTAATAACAGGTACTGATAATGATGTCCCTCCATCACATCAAAATATAGTTCCAGGAGGGGGCTATGTTTCTGGGAATGGAAGATCTGCTGTAGGCTCGGCCCCATCCCTAAGGTTTTTAAGCATGCTTATTTGTCTGTATTGTTCTATACTTTCAATCAGTGACATAGAGAACCTGTCATTTTTCTTTTTTTTGGGGGGGGCCAAAATCATGTTAGAATGTTGCAATGTGTTCTCATGCTTTTTCTAAAATATCCAGGGTACCAGTTTGTTCTTCCAACTTCAACCAACAATAGTTTAATGCTTTCTATTTGGTTTTTCTTTTTAAACACAGGGCCGGCATGCTCTGGTCTATGATATAAATACTCCAAATGAAACCTTGGAATGGGTTGATCTCAAAGAGGTAAGTAGTTATTATTTTGTTTTGACTAAAATCTTCTGTTACACAGCTAAAATTTTACAATATGTTTTGAGATATATTCTGCATCTACTTTTGTATAAATGTTTGGACATTTTCATATAACCCCCTTTCAAATAAGTCAGGCCTTGGGTTTGTTGAGGTGGCTGGAATTGGAAGGAAATTTTAGGATTTCTACTCCTTGTGAACTTCAACCTAATATTTTCCTCTTTTGTGCATGAATTTTAAACAATGCAGTGTAATGTGTCAACATAAAGGGACAGGGTGTCTTAATTGTTTTGCAAGATTGCCTTTCAACTGAAATAAATATTCTATTTACTTTATTTGATGAAGGGTTCTACAAATAACCAAGAACATCTTGTCTTATCATTAGTGAAAATGATGTGGTATTGTAAGCTTACAATCATGATGTGTCATTATATGATTGGCTTTTTTTTGTTCAGGGATCCACCTATGATATTTTATACATCTACTTATTTAATGAAACGGTATGATTGTAAACTTACAATCTTACATGGCATTGTAAACTTACAATCTTACATGACATTGTAACTATATCATTGTTTTTGTTATAGATGTTTGCTTTGGACAAGCCATCATGAAAGCTGGCTGCTGATTGCAAAAGAAGAAATGAAGATTTTAAAGGGAATATTACCAAATATCCTTCTGACTGCAGATCCCACCAGAGGACATCTGATGGGATGGTGAGGTTCGAAGCATATCCTACCGAGACTCTGGGGTTAAGAAACAATCCAGTCATGTTGCTCCTGCTCCCGGTGCTGGAAGAGGGCAAGGATCTGCAAAGGGTCTATTCAGAAAAGAGTATATGCCATCACAGAATAGTGTTCCTAAAAAAGTTTCTGAGGATATTGAATTACTTGACACACAGACGCTAGTGAAGGAGGTATTTATTGGAGGGCTTGAACAGATTTGTAATATTTCACTAGCTAGTTCATAAATCCAAGATCAGTTATCTATATCTTTTTCTAACAGGTGGAGAAGGTTTTTGATGCAAGTCATCTGGATCCTCTTGAGCTTGAGAATGCAAAGAAGAAATTGAAAGTAAGACTATTGATTCATGCACCAAACGTGATCCTCGAAACAGTTTATTACTGCTAAATCATTGTACTCAATAAAATGCACCAAACGTGATCCACGAAACCTCAACACTAGCTCTGGTCATGTTTATGAAAATCAAGGTTCTCAGATATTGTACCACTCACAAGTCACAACATAGCTTTATTTATCTTTTGGAATATCAAGGTTTTCAAATATTGGACTGTCAACTCCCACTCCCATTGCATTCAGACCATTGTCGACGTACACAACAGCACCGGTGATTGCCGAGGACAAAGGTGATGCCAGAAAGGCAGCAGCATTCCCCACCTCCTCTGTTACATTACATTTAGGATTTGGTAAATACAATGCTATTAGGTTGGACTTGGAGACATGAAATTTAAAGATGCATATGGTTGTTTTTCTATCACTAAACATGTCTAAATCTGATATATTTAACAGGAAATGAATCATATAAAGTAATAGTTGGCAACGCACCGGCTGAAAGTTCTTTCTGCAGTGGTGCATTAGCCAGTGAATAATCAATCATCATATCGATAAATCCAATTGCTTTAGCAGCACGACTTCTTAATGGACCTGAAAAATTTTAACCTTCCAATTAGATTGCTGCTCAAATTCTTAATGAGCATTTTTTTTTTTTTGTGATTTATTTAATCTGAAGTAATTCTACACCTGCAGATATTGTGTTGACTCTGATTTTATGTTTTCTTCCAACTTCGAAAGCCAGCACCTGAATCAAGAAAATTAGATCTTACTAAAGTTATAGAACCTAAAAAGTATAGGACCAAACTGAACAGGATGCTATAAGAAAAAGGGAAAAAACTCACTTGTGTATCACTCTCCAATGCAGCCTTTGCAGAACTCATGCCCCCACCATATCTGTGCATAGAATGAGATTGAAACAGAGATAAGTTCTATGTTCCTACGAGAGTTCACTAACAGGACTGTAAATGGAACGTACCCTGGGATAATCCTTTCAGAAGCGATGTATGTTAGAGATATTGAAGCACCACCTGTAAGATGAATAGGCAAGGTTAAATTATAGCAAAAATTGGCAGCAATTCTTATGGAGAAGTAAAGGATGAGATTTAAAAGAAAAACATACCTGGATTCATGATTGGAGCAAAATGCTTAAGTAAAGAAACAAAAGAGTAACTAGATGCAGAGAGAGCTGCAAGATATCCGTTCCTTGATGTCTCTAAAAGTGGTTTGCTTACCTGTGGTTAATGTTAAATGCATATTAGTACCATTGCACCTTAGTAATGCAAAATTTAAGCAAAGAAGTTAAGCACGCTGCACCTCTGGTCCATTTGCTAGTGAATGAACAAGGATGTCAATGCTGCCAAAATCCTTTTTCACAGATCCAGCAACCTCCTGTGAGATATTAATGCCAACAAGTCAGTTTGTGGTTCTGTTCCCTAACAATATGTGCTTGGGAGAAAGAAAACATAAACAGGTAAAC